TTGAAGCAGCTCAATCATTGACGTATCATAGAACATCATACCAAGCGCTTCAGGAGAGGGGCAATATCCCTCCCAAGTACCAAAGTTACTTTCTCACTTGATACACGACAATTTTGACATCAATTACATGTTCCTTGAATTCAAATTTACCTATCAAATCGAATAACTACTGACAAAAAAATTCAAAGTTCAAGATACTGATAAAATGTGTCGTTTTCGAACTCGTCGATAACATTGATACCCAATTCGCAGTACTTCGAGACCATTGCACACCACCACGTCGCTCTACGCCAGAGGCGGTTCCATCTCGGTGGACACGGTGTGGACATGTTCATCATCGGCGGTGCGAAGGACACGAGCAATAACAACTGGGACATAGCGGTTCGTCGGGCAGTCGGTCTTGGCCCTCCAGTTAATATTTCTTCGGATGGAGGATGTGGACATCGTTGCCTTCATCACGAATGAGAACCTCGACCAACACAACTGCAGCGTGTGAAAATTGGCAAGCAGTGTCGTCAAATTCACGTCACTCCACGCGACAAGTACGTCGATGACAAGTCGTCCAACGATCGTGCATGTCGAATCACTTGGTTGTACTGTAGAGTGCGGAAAATCCAAGATGCAGCACGTTGGCGTCAGGCTAGTTGGCGGGTTGGCAGACGATGGAGATGGCAAATCTGTCCGACGTACCAGTCAGTCATATGTCGATATTGTCCAGAAATACGTGTGGGGTGCGCTTTGTCTTGTTGGAGGTATATTTCTCTCGAGTCATGAAATGGATGGATTGTCTGGATCGCCACTATGACCTTTTCTAAGATCCCACTTTTGCAGACATCGTGCGTGACCACAAGATTTGTGGTGATCGGCGTTCCTTCGGTGCGGTTCTTTCTATTTCTGGCGGCGGGAATGATTAGTGTCAATGGCCAGCAGCCAATTTTGTCGTCCCACGAAGAATTCGTGGCATGATCCCAGCGAGGCTCAGCAATGACGCATAAGAACACGACAATTGTAATTGTTGAGCATTATTGTGTTAATCTGTCTACCTTGAGGATAACGTTTTTGTTGTCTTGGCGGAGGATCTCCAAAGAGCCCATAAAGTTCACACTTTGGGACACTGAGGATTGATCATTTTTCGTCCACATGGAGATAGACCTCTTGTTCAACGTTTCCATTGTTATTCACAATA